GTTTTGGGAGAACAAGAACCCGTGGCTAGACTTAAAGGCCCTACTTCGCGAATCGGAAGCATTCCGCCCTGGATTGAGAGGCCCCTCTAAGCATCAGGGGGGCCGTTTTCTGGAACAGAAGACTATTTAAGCATGGCGTGACCCTTTCCTACGTCCAGAATGTTCCTTCTGTGAGGAGCCCGATTTTGTCCGGGAAACTCGCTGGAGGGGTGGACTCCTGCCTCCCCAACTCAAAATCCGTGACGCCGCCCCTCACTGGGACGCCGTTTGCTAGGAACTGCCAAAATGTAAGCGAACAAGGCGGCTGTTGCGCTAATTGATTACATAGACCTAGCAACGAGGAACAGAAATATAAGCCATATATCTTGCGTGAAGGTCTCACACTTAGTGTATGATGATACGGGAAATGAATAAACTTTAACAACACGGGCCGACTGCACAATGGCCGTGGTAGTGATACCGGGTCTGCGACGGTGCCTCTGCAGCCCGGGTCAGTTGTGCCACTGCTGATATTAAATGTACATTTGAAGAGACTGCTTCACATCTGTGTTGGGCTTAAACTGAGATGGCCAATTCCATAACCATGTTGCGAAATTTACAGCCATCCCCTTTTTAGGACTCACAACCCTCCAGCTACTGAGCTTGACGGAATTGATTTTGTACAGACCGAACATAGATATAATATCATATGTTCATGTATTCTAATTTCGTTCGTCAACTCTGCATGCAGTTGAAATTTGTTTTCGTAGGGTGCATTGATGATGTTTGTTTCTCGCTTCAACTAAGTTGCACTGAGTGTCATGGACCTCACTTTCCACAACTCGGTTGCTGTACCCGCTATTCACCAGACGCTGTCATGATCACCCTAGTTCGAAGGGTAGGACTTGCCATGCTGATAAGATGCGGACTGCTCTTCTGGTGGATGCGTTAATTACGCTGCGCTCACAAAGACGTGAACATTCACTCCGGCCATTGATGCATTTTCCGGAGCCTGTTGATATACTAGCTGCAATAATGTCATATTATGCTTTGATTTCAAAGCCCTAAAACTTCCTTTGATGATTGTTCCAAATTTCAAAGATGAGTTTCACAAATGAGTTCGTCTGCGAGACATTCCATAATTGTTCAAGGTGCTGCACGTCTTTGATATCAACAAAAATGTCGTGAACGTGGCAACGGTAGATCCTAAGTTGCAGCTCATCGTCCCGAAGAGCTCCACTTTCAACTTCAAGCCTGTCAAAGCTTGCAAATAATGGACCTGAGGTGATCCCGTAGTCACGCCCTTCTTTTGTACAGGGAGCTTCTCATCCGGTGCGCAGCCAGGTGACTACATGTGGCTATTGTACTTTGTTGACACTCCGTTCTCGACACGCCAAAATTGCATCAACAAGGTGTGTACATTTCAATTCAGGTAAAGCAAAACATAAATAGCTTTTCTACGCATCGGCTCAGAAAATCGTCTTAAACTCTTTGCCAGAAGCGGTTAGCCAAATGCCCTCACATTGAGAGCGTTTTTTGCACTGCTCGTTTCAGTGAACACGCACTGCGAGCCTGCTGCACCGCGGTACACCGCTCCAAGCTGCTGTTCCTCTGAACGAAGAGCGACCCTCGCCCGCTTCAATTGGAACGTGTCACAGACGACAAAGCCCTCACGCCAATGCCATACACAGCGCGGGTTGATTGGAGCAACAGCGTCGCCAGCTGATCTGGCCCCCGATAGCCATGCAGTTATACTTCGCATACTCGGGGTTCAATGAGCTTACCCGCGCTCAGCAAGCCTGACTACTTGCAGGCGGCACCGACCTGATTGTGCTTTCAAAGACTCGCTATCATTGTGGCCAAAACAAAAATATGTTGCAAACGTCGCACCTGTGCAGCACTCGCTGCGCCTTCCGCAGTGACACATTAGAGCGAATTTGCAGCACTAACGATTGCACTGTTTGACGCATAAATTTATTTAGCACCAGTTGACGATGACGTGATAACGCAGCTAGAACCCATGTGCACTCTTGCCCAGCCGCATAAAGGTGTAACTTCTAAGACTTTTCATAGAAAAACAATTCCCATGTTTTTGCACCTCCTTCACTGCTTTCCTGCGTCAATCGCATGTGGATCTGATTCGCATTTGGCCTGTCAAATTGGGCCAACCGAGGTCAGATCATATCTTTGACGGCCATACGTAGCTCTGTTCATGTCTGCCGATAAAGTTCACACAAGTCAAAGCATGCCTGCAGTTACTTCGATCTTATACGAGATTGTCTCACGTCACCCCATGACATCTCACAATAATGCATTTAGATAAACTTACTCTTTTGATCTTGACGTACGGAGATGCTCTTGGTTGGTGTACTGTGGAGGTTTAAACACAAGTCTCAACGGTTGTAAAAACTTGGCCTAAGGTTGTCTTGATTTTGCGCGACCTTTAAGCACTGTTGACACTTTTAAGTCACCTCTGTTAATGACATGATGGGTCTGTGGGCTAAGGTGATTACCTTCCCAAATGTTAGCTCGTGTTGCAATGACCACGATATTGGGAAAGATCGCGGGCAACCGTGAGCCTCACGACGTTCTACCTCCAGAACCATTGAAGGAAGAGGTCCGGTGCAAATAGTGGAATAATTTTCCAGATTTTTCCCAAGGAGTCCTTTGACGGATTTATAGGCCAGTGACCTGTCAGAGGAACTTGAAACCTGCGGATCGATTTGGATAATTTTAATGCTCTGGTCTATCTGCAAAGAACTTATTTCTCGCCGAAATCAGACGAAGCCTTGTCTACAGTCGTAAGCACCACGTTAACATCGACATTCGAAGTGGGAGTCTCCCTGTAACGTAGCCTGCCAAGCTGCAGTCTCTGGCTTCTGGATAATACAAAGCTGTCCATAGAGTATCAGTAGGTGTCTGAGCTCATCGGGAGCGATGGTGAGCCCGACGCCGGGGTAGCCCCGGTAGATCACAGCAGCTCCGGTAGATCACGTTTCCCAGGCACGATGATCACACGCCCAACTCCCAGGGGAATCCTGTTTTACGTTTCCCGGCGCGAGGCCATGCATTTTGATAAGTCGTGGCTGATATTCAGCATGAATACGGCATCGGTGGGACGGACCGAACGAACATGAACCCCTACTTCCACGGGGCTCTCGCGACAGTCTACCCGAGTCGTCATTTCAGCGTGGGCAACGTCACATAAAAACCTTAAAACATTGCCTGCCAGCAGCACGAGTAAGAGTCCGTAAGATGACATGCATGACGTCGGGCGTGTAAGCTGATGAAGCAGAAGCAGAGTTTTATGTTGAGTAATACATTCACTGCCATGACAAACAAATTCGCTAGATGTTATAAGCCACCTACCAAACGATCCCTGTGAACAAGCGACTGACATCGCGTTACAAACATTGTCTAAAACCACTTCATGCACCACAAGTAGTTTGACTGGCCCACTTTGAAATATGGACGGCATGGCCAGCGCGCACTCCTGTAGTTTCTGGCGTGCTGGTACGGCTGGTTGCGGGTACAAATTGGTCACAGCCAGAATCGCGCGAGTGCCAGCCAGGTACTCGTTGTTTTTACTCTGCTCCGGACGAGGTGGAATGAGAGTTACCCCACTGTCATTAAGACCCTGACCGAGCTATATCAACGACCACAAACTAGGAGATACACAAATGTTTGGAAAATTAGACAGAATTTAGTTTAGCCAGTCTTCCCCCTCTTTTGTGTTACCTTGTTAGCCTGCATTTACAAACAAATAAACATGGCAAATGTATTCAAAGAAACACATAAAAAACCAAATGGCTTCCGCCAGAGTTTGTTGTCAAAGCTATATGGTCACATTTTGTTTTGATTGCCCGCTTCGTTACAGTACGGCAGGAACACGTTTCACATCAGGGGATGCGCCGTCTGCCGTCAGAGCCGCTTTTTAGGCATCACGACAGTATCTATAAAAAGGAATCAGGATGTGAACGTGCGCAAGGCTATAGTTAGAACAGTGTATTCAGATTTTATTATGATCGCCTTCGGGCAACGACATCGGCATCGGCATTGCGACACGCTAAAATCTCGCCACCAAATTTGGGCGTCGACTCGAAATTGCGCGATCGGATGGCAGTGTTCAGGGCTCACATAGCAAGCACTGTTTAACCTGAGCTTTGATCCAAGAAATACATCCATTCAAAAAGCCGGAATTAAATATTTAAACAAAGTTGGCTAGTGATTTTCAGCGTAATATAAATTGGTGAATGAGAACTCCAGTGATCTTTCCAAAATTCACAAGTGATGTTGATGAATGATGACGATGAATGATGGATTATCTTGTGTACGGCATTTCCGGGTTCAATACGTACCATTAAAAACTTACAAAAACAATAAAAACGATAAAGCGTCTTAGGTCAAGGCAATCGTACTAGCAGGTAATATCACAAACTACGGACTGGGATGTCTGGTAAAATGTCTTTCGCATGAAGCATTCACATCTTTCGCGTTCCGCCAGGGATGGGGCATGTTTACGATTCAAGCATATATCATCAATGCGTACGGCAACTCAAAGGATGGAAACCCTGCTTGTACTGTGCCCGTTTGTTTTTACTTCGAGGTTACTAATGTTTTCGCCCACAGGCCCATTTACCTATCAGCTAGCAATGAGCTGTCATTTCTATCGCCTCTAAAATTCACCAAAGTAACCTTACGTCGCTGACCCAGTGTCACCTCAGGCCGCCAATCTAGTTTTACCCTAGGTCACTGGACCATGACAATGTTTTTGGCCCCGTACCCGTCACCACCTCGATCATTAATTTGCATCCATCGGACGACATTGACCCGACATTCTCTAACACGTTGATTACGTACGGAACAAATAACTCATGCAAACTCAACAAATGAGAGAATTACAAACACAAACCACACGAGGCTGCCCATCCCTCACTACATCAGGTCTTTTCATGCATTCATCCATGATCTCTCGGTTCCGTCTGAGAGTCATCCATCCAGCACCGCCTGACTTCACTGACCTGGTATGGACCGAGGTCTTGCACCACGCAGGTGAGCGAAACGCTTCTGCCGGCTACCACATTCTGGGTGCCTATGGCCGCGGCAAATTTGGGCGAGGCTTCTGAAACAGGTCGGGATAGCGCTGGTCAACACTACGCTGTGTATGGCACACAATGACGGAACAACAAGCGTTCTTGCTACCTTAGCTACAAACATGCGTATATGATTGTTCCCAACGTCTAACGTGCCTCCGTAGGGAGCATGTTTATACCTCAGTCAAGCCGTTGTTCTTCCCTTGTTCTGACTCTGTGATACATCGCAGCTAATTTGCTGTATATTCTTAGTGCTTGTGATCTGAAGGCAAGAATAAAGTGATATAAATCTGAGAGGAAATCCAAATGACGGAAGGTTAGGTGAGTATGCGTTTATGGTCTGGCACACCGTTGAGATTCCTTCAGACTAAAATTCTTGAAAAATGTCCCGATTATTGGCGCGTTACACGCTTAATTACCAAAAGACAGTTTGTTATCTAATCAAATAAACTCGGTGTGTTAATTGCACCAAGTCGCATATCATGTGACGTGCAATCCTTGAAGGTCATTATCTAAGATTATTGGGTCTAGGCACACAACCAAACAAGCGTACTGTTTGAAACGACTTTTTTCAAATCTACATCAATCTGACCTTAGATCATCGACCTAACAGGCATATTATCTTCAGAACGCCTCTGACATGTGCTGTCGTCACCTGCAGCACACAAGGCCCATAATTGCCACCCATCCCCAAAATATGATTTAAATGCTCGAATTGTCATAAATGATCCAGGCGCACCTTGAGATGAATGGCGACATTCATCAGTGGCAATTATAAGGCATGGTGGCTTCGAAACTTTCCAGAACATGGCCTAATTGAGCTGAGTCAACATAGGCCAAGGACCTAGTGCTATCTGGACTACATAACATTGCATGGCATGGAGACAAGGGCATTGAAATATTCGAAGTGAGTTGGAGCTTTCAGAACATAGGAGCTGACCAGTGTAGTTAATACATGACAAACACGCACATGAGACATGGGCTCATATATTAGCTGATGACGATGATAATGTCTTCTGTACCACTTTTCAAGTGTGTAGAAAAAAAGGCGTTCTGAAATCCTTCTACCGATGCATTTTTTCTGCAACTATTCGAACTGCAAACTTCCACGAGTTTGGCTCCTCACTGCCATTGTCCCAGCCAACAGAAAATGAATGCAACTCTTGCGCGATCATACTCAGAAAGCTGCGTTTATTTCAGGAGAGGCATACTTACGGGTGTGCCACAATAAAAGTGACGCGAATTGCGCTACCGTTGTGTATCATATTTGGGTTAAATATCATGGAAGGGAAACTAGCGCGTTGTGCAGCCATTTCCGAAAAAGATGAAAACGCTCACGATGAGTTCAAAAGTACGATGTTAAACCATTGCTGCTTGGCCGGAGGGCAAACGGGCTTTTAAATTGCAAGGCACAGCCTGTTGTATCAAATGAGTGGAGTCCGGCTTCGACAGGCATGCCTGGTGGAATGTTCTGAGATTTAGCATTGTAGCTGTTGCTTACGAAGTAGTTTGGATGATGTTAATGGTGGGATAATAAGTAAAATGCTAGCAATCGCTTTAAATGTGGGTGGTAAAGCAAACAACTCACGGGCCACCAGTGTAATGCACATAATAACACACATTTGCGGGGGGATGCGGTTACCTGGCAGCAACAATTAGACACCTGACTGTTGCCCCCGACGTGTAAGATTTCCCATCGGAAGAGCAAAACATGTGGTTCAATGTAACAGAAACACTTCTTAAAGTCAAGTCGAGCTGCCTCACGGACCAAGGGGGATGACGTTGGCCAGCTGGTGTTTCTTTTCGAAAAACCACTATGGGAATAACTAGCTCAGAGACAGTTATACTAATTGAGAAAATTATAATTGGAAAATCCTGTATATACAAAAAGATACGATTATTTGTGGAAGAAATGAGCCTGGAATTGTAATAGCTATGTCAACTGACCTTGTGAGCTGCCGTTGGGTTTACATTTGCGCCATGACCGCTTCTTGGATATCCTCGGAAAGGAGGGCCAAACATTATCTACCCCTGGTTGATCCAAACCGCCGTCACCTCCCTGATGTGGTATTGCCTACCGCTATTTTCACCGATGGAGGGGGGGGGGGGGGGGGGGGGGGGCGGAGTTAGGGCGAAGCGGCTGTGCAGTTCCACTCGCAGTAGAACTAAGTGATGGCGCTCATTTCGGCTGGCAGCAGCTATTTTCACTTCTTTTGTACCGAAGGGAAAAGCGCCTTGTCTGTACCTCCCCCTTTGTACCGATGCATCATACATTGCATCAGATATCTTGATCGCGATGCAAGATAAACAAGCGAGCAAGTGAACTATCAAGGCAAATACCAGCAACCAGCTGATCTTGAATAATTTTTCAAAGGAACATTGAGCTACACTTTGAACGACATCGATACTTGAAAATAATACGGGCTTGAGAGAAATGAATTGTTGGGAAACAATGGCCGTATAATTTATTTTTCTCTTACGTATTGACCTGGAGTTTAAAACTTTGTTTTTGAAGATTTCTAAAGTGCTCAAATTAGTTTATGAGATGCATAGGCAATGAACAATTCAGAATCGAAAAAGCATTTGTTTACGGATTTACGTACGTTCGTCAGCGTGGTGAACACTCATGTTCACACGGAAATTGATAATGGGCTTATATACCGACGGCAGACCACTGTATGTCGGCGTGCCCCCATGTCAACACTCCAGCAAGGCGGCATAGCTACTCCAAACAAATCGCTTAAAGAGATGTGCAGCAACAAACCATGGGGCGCACCAGCCGCCACCCCGGGATTATGTCACAGTTAAATCTGTGCATTCCCCATGTCGCATGACTATGGTATTGACATGATGCTTTTACATACAGTTTGCATTGTTTTGATAATTTGATTGATTTCAATGTTCTGTAGAGAACATACAATGGCCAAGCGGCTAAGCTTCGTTAACATCTAAGATAAAGACAGATACCCGCTTTTTAGTTGCTAAGTCGTCATGGGCTTAATGCTTGCATTTGTATTGTCTGCCGACTTTTACCAACTGTGATTCGACCTACATCTTAGGGAATAAGTCATTGGTTTCAGTTAGGACATGGGTTCTAAACACATCGAAGCTCGGAGCCTGTTCGCGTATGTAACACATCCTCAGTTTGTTCGCGCATGTAACGCCTCATCTTTATGCCGGCTGATGTCTGACGGCGCCCAGACCCCGGTCTGGCCGCCGGACCGCAGTGCGCTATCGAATGTCATGCATATTTCACAGTGTGATGCGTCAATCGGAGCCCACTGCGGGGGACGCGGCCCCAGACACAGCCGGTTGCGACCAGCCAGCCTCTCACCGGCGTCACGGACACGGGCGACCACAGCTAACCCGCCTCTCACCGGCGTCACGGACACGGGCGACCACAGCTAACCCGCCTCTCACCGGCGCAACGGACACGGGCGACCGCAGCCAACTCGCCTGTCATCGGCGCAACGGACACGGGCGACCGCAGCCAGTCTGCCTCTCAACGGCGCCACGGACATGGGCGACCGCAGCCAACACGCCTGTCACCGGAGCAACGGACACGGACGACCATAGCCAGTCTGCCTGTCACCGGCGCCACAGACACGGGCGACCGCAGCCAGCCTGCCTCTTATCGGGGCCACGGATACGGGCTACCGCAGCCAGCCCGCCTCTCACCGGCGCTACCGCCGGGCCGGCCCGCAACCAGCTTCAGGCTCGGCGCGAGAGATTAGCTCCGCAAAGATTTAGATGACATCGGTGTAATCCTCGGAGATAAGGTGGAAATCGGGAGGAAATTAGTTTTGTATTGGATGAACGGGAGGATTCGCAGCCAATCAGGTGCCGGCCGAGGCGACGATGCCCCGTGATGGGCGCCGCGAGGAGGTCGACCAGTGCCCGCCAGATCACCGACCGCCGAAGGCGGACACGACCTTACCGATCGGGGGAGGGGATGGCAGAGACCAGCGAGCCGCACAGGCGGCGGGCCAGGACCAGCTCGGAGCCGGCTGGACTGTGCCGGCACGCGTTCACTGGTCTGCCGCATGCGCTGAGGCGAAGCGCCAAGGTACCGGAATCCAAAGTTTCAAATGTCTGAACCTACAGCTTGAACGTGCGTGCATGTGATGTACAAAAGACAGTGGTCTTGCTCGGGGTTCGTTCCATGGCATTGTGGTTCTAAGCTGACAATGAGCCCACTGTTGGCGCCAGCTGCTGTGGTCCACCGGATATTGGGCACTTCCGGCGCCCGGTTTGTTCAGCAGACATCGACTGGCCCGGTGATCAGAGTCCAATCTCTCGAGACAAACACGCGGACCAAGCGGTGCTGCTGGAGTTCAGATGTCCGAACCTAACAGTTGCACATCACCCAGAAGCACTTCGAGATTTGACAATAGCAGCACGTGAAGCTTTTTTAAAAAAAATGTTGGCTTAGATGGCTTTTGCAATTGCGTGTTTTTAATTGAAAAATAAAAGCTTTCCTTTGAGCTATTTGGAAACACAGGATTATTTCAGTTAAGCGTGGTGATCAATTACCCATTACTGGTGCTGATTGATGTTGAGTTTCAATAAATGCATGGAATGACGGAGTCCACAACAACAATGCGTAGCAAACTGAATCGCCCGGAGTCCTCCTGTTTGGAATAGCATAATATAATGTTCACTTCGATGTGATCGAATGCCTGGTGCGACCAAATTCGTATCAGGAACGTCCCGATGACCCTCTAAAAGGGATTAGATGGCGTGGGCTAAGCACGACCGCAAAATCCCCCGGGTCGTGTGTCGGCGGGAGGTTAGCCTGAGGAAAATTTTACACTTTGCTGTAGCGCAAAGATAACGACCATCCGCGTCGCTATGTGCCTAGCTATTAAAGAGCCAGTCGACTTATGCCGGAGATAAAGCGGACCGTTACACGGCGTACTCTCCGTGCGTGGTGTGAAACGGCACTGAGGTGGGAAGATATGTAAACGTCGCGGGACCCGCATCGAAGCGCCCTTCGTGCCGGCAACACGCTTGGCTTCGTAGCCACAGC